ATTCTAAGTGAAGATTTTCCGTCTTCACACACCCTGCATCGCTGGGGTTTCTGTAAAACCATCTTTAACTTACTCCGCCATCTGTCTCCCTTTCCCCAAAGAGATGAGACTCAAATAAAATATATACCTATAGTTACATTTGGGAAGACTTTGGATCTTTCCTGTACCTTCTCTCTTCTCTTTATTCTGTTTCCCCAAGGAGACGTCAAATGGGAAGGGTTTCAGAAATGGATAAACATGGTAGAGAAGAGATGGGCAAGAAAAAGAAAAATTAGGCAGCAATCATATTTTATGTGCAAGATATTTTCACCTCAGTGATGGGGGAAATGGAGGTGGGCAGATTAAGCCAGGGTAAAGGTAAGCCAGCCTATGAAGTTTGTGTTAAGCTAAAAGCATTTTGCCATCACTCCCAGAGCTCAAGATTTTACCCTACAACAGGTTTTGTAACGTCAGTGAGCTCTCCACACTAATAAGAATGGTAGCATTATGGAACTCTCTCTGGCCTTCAGATTCATATCCATTACTTCTTGCTTTTAAATAATATTTGATTGTGTTTCCAGTGAAGGTTTACACAGCACTTTAGGCTCCCATTCAATACTTTCTACACTAGGTGTTCAGTGGCATTGCTTACCTTCTTCACAGTGTGTGAACATTCTCATTATTTCTGTTCTGGTTGTTCCATTTCCATTCATCTAGTTTCCCTGACCACTTACAGTCTCATCTTTGTTTTAAGGTAATTATTGACTGTTTGGTCTCATACAGATGGTTCTTTTAAAGAAACATAGTACTCATGGGTAATAGTCTTTATTTTGTGAGCCAATCTGTTGTTTAGCTAAAAAGTGACCTCAGGGATTAGTTTCAGTTCAAAGGGTATATCAAGGCAATAGTACCAGGGAGTCCTCTAGTTTCAAGTGGTCCAGTAAATCTAGTTTCCTTTTTTTTTTTTTGAATTGAGGTTCTGTTCCATATTTTTCTCTCATCTTGTCAGGGTCCATCTCTTGTGGCTCTGATCTACCACTCCCATTTGGTAGTGGTAGTTGGGCACCCTCAAGTTCTCTGGGTCTCAGGGCAGATGAGGCCATGATTCACATAGACTATTAATCCCATAGACTCGTTTGTTCTTAGAGCCTTTGGTTTTCATCTTTCTTTTTTGCTCCAGATAAATACAAATAGTTGTATCTTAGGTGGCTGCTCACATGGTCTTAACACCCAGACACTACTCACTAAACTAGGATGTAGAATATAAACTCTATAAATGATATTATGCCACTTAGCCAAGATATACCATGCACTACTTCTTTCTTACAGTGGGAATTAGACATAGAGCCAATCCAGTGACTACTAGGAGGGCAGAATCAAGTGGGGGAAACAAGCAAGGTGACCATATGTGAGTTTAGAAGCTGGCACCCAGGGACACAGCCAGATGGACCCTAAGGGTAATCACTGTGGCACCTGTCTCAGTTCTCTGATGCTGCTATAACAGAAGTGCCACACGGGGATGGCTTTCACCACCAGAAATGTATTCTGTCACACTCTCAGAGGCTAGACGTTTGAATTCATAGCACGACTTCTAGAGGAAGATTCTTGTCTCCTTCCAGCATCTGTAGACCCAGCCTTCTTTGGAGTTCTCCAGGTGTCTTAACATCAATCTTCCTCTGGATCATCTTCCTCAAAGTGCAGGGACCCCAGGTCCAAAGACACATTCCACTCCCAGTTCTTCTGTCTTGGTGGTACTAGGTCCCTCTTTCTTTGCTTAAGTCTCTTTCCTCGTATTTCTTATAAAATAAAAGATGTTGTATGCCACACCATTGGGAAATCGCCTTCAGACTGATCAGGGTAGTGGTGGGACTAAGGGTGGTGTGGTGGTGGTTGTGTGCCATCAAGTGGGTTCCAACTCATAGTGACCCTGTATAGGGCTTCCAAGTTTGTGAATCTTTACAGAAGCAGAAAGCCTCATTTTTCTCCCATGGAGCAGCTGGTGGCTTCAAACTGTTGGCCTTGTGGTTAGTGGCCCAAGGCAACCCACGAAGCGATCAGAGCTCTAGGTAAGGGTGATGGATCCCACCCATAGTCCTCTTATTGATTTATCACATGAAATCACATCATGGGGTATAGCTACATCTCAACTGCCAGACCACTGAGAATCCTGGGCCAGTCAAGTTGATGCATGTGCTTATCCTAGAGCGCCACACCAGGATGCTGAGATAGGCACCTAATGTGTCAAAACCAAGGAAACAGTTCACATGTAATAAGGATCCTGGGCTGTGCATGCAGAGCCTAGTTTCTTTGGGTTGCCACTTTCTTGAACCAGCTTCCATCAGAGGAAGTTCATTAAATGCACAATCAATGGCTTTGACACTTAAAAAGTAAATGGTAGAGTCTAGACTTTTGCTCCTTTCTGCTACAACTGCACCATGACTGAATCATGGCCTTGATGCATGAACTCAAAAAGACCAATCGGATGCTTGGACTACAGGTATCTTCTAAAAAGGTTCTGCCATAAACCCATAGCCTCTAGCTCCTCTGCAAGTAACCAGATAAAGAAAAATTGCTAAGATGGTACAACATTGAAGGAAGGGTAAAATGAATAACAAGTCAAAGGCTAAGTATGATTCCAAAGTACTGATCAACTGACATTCTAAGACGTTTCAGACTTTACAATAGTCTGAGGTAGCTTCATTAGCTCACTTTTCACAACATGGTTGTTGTTGTTGTTATGT